TAATGTTGGTCATGAAAAAAATAAATTTATGGAAAAAAGAATGTTTTCAGTTTTATGGGGAAAGTAAACTAAGAATATAGAAGAATTCAGTTTACTCTTGGAGCCTAAACTGTGTGGTATTATATGGCCATATATTGGCCATAAGCTTGGTCTTAAATGCTTAATGACAAAAAAAATGGCGTCCTTTTTCATACTCAAAAAAATGAATAGATCAATTCACTAAAATTAAAAGAAAGCAAAAAGGAGAGGAGGCAATGAAGAAGGAGAGGAGGAAGAAAGAAGGAAGAAAATTTTGATATGAGACAACCTTTACAAATAATAGAGGTGATGTATCTAGATTAAATTTATCTCCCTATTTTTCATTCAGGATCCACTTCAATCTACAAATAAAAGGAAATAAATCTGTATTTTTCCACATTAACCTGATTTACCTATTGGCATTAGGGCGTGGCCCCTGGTTTTGTTCTCTTGCATATGACTCAGTGTGATTCTTTGGTTGGGTCACGTCATGGCCAAGCCAGTCTTAGCGGTCTCCATGTGAACACTAGTGCTCCAGGGCTAATGAAGGGAACTGTGTGGCAGCAAATATTGTACCTGCAGGTTTACTTCTTGTAGTAATTTCCTGGAGCTGCTGTAAAACATTACCTCAAACATGGTGGCTTAAAACTATTAAATGTGTTCTCTTGTAGTGCTGGAGGCCAAAAGAGAAGTTGAGGTGTCAGCAGGGCTGCACTCCCTGCAGCTATAGGATAGATTCTTCCTGGCCTTTTCCAATCTTCCATGCTCCAGGTGTTCCTTGCCTTGCATTGTTCCAATTTCTGGTTCAATTTTTACATGGCCTTACACTGTGTGTGTGTGTTCTCTTTCATCTTTTATAAGACAAGTGTCACTGGACTTTGAGCCCACTCATATAATCCAGGATGATCTCAGCTCAAGTTCCTTAATTGTATTTGCAAATAATCCTTTCCTTCAATAGGGTCATGTTCACAGAGCATAGATCTTTTAGGGGGCCACCATTCCAGCCCATGCTGAGGGTAACAAGCACTGAGGGTCAGATGTTTTGTAATGAGTAGATGTTTCCAGTATGAATTTGTCCATGAGCATTTTCATGATTTTCTGGTAATCTCTTAATGAAGAACTGCAAAGGCTGATGTGAACTCTACACAACATTAGCAGTAGGAAATTATTTTCATGTTTCTTGTACTATGAAGCTCTGGAAGACTACTAATACACCATCAAGCCTTTTATTGGAGGGGAGACTAACCATAACTACAAAATAATGAATTCTAAGTGGTTGTTCTATTTGTTCTACCTTATATTAAGATTTTTTTACGGTCACTGGTGTATGAACTCAGGGCTTCATGCTTGCTAAGCAGGTGCTCTTACCACTTGGAGCCACTGTGCCAGCCCAGGATTTTTTTTTCCCCCTTGGGACAAAATCTTGCTATGTAGCTCCGGTGACTTTAAACTTGCTATGCAGCCCAGGCTGTCCCGAACTCATGATCCTCAGTCTTCTGAGAGCTGGGATTATAGATACCAGGCCTGTCTGTTGTATCTTATATTAGCTGCTTTATTATTTTTTAATCATTGAATTATCTTAAAGATTACATTATTTATATGTTTATAAGGCCTTCTTTCTCCCCAATCTTAAAAATGGGTTTTAAGTAATGAGAGACATCATAGAATATAAGAACATATCCTAGGTTTGCACGGAGTTAAAAATCTCATTTCCTCTAATGTAAAAATTATTTATTATTTGTATATATGTGTTAATATAAATATATTTTACATATTTACAGTATATCATATACTTAACACTTATGTTTATACCTGTATTTATATAGATAAATATATTTTATGTATAAAGAAATTAAATGACATGTATGCCCTTCCCACTATGGCTTGGATATTTTTCCGTTATTTAGATTGTTTCTCTTCTCTTTTAGAACTTTTCAGTCATACTTGGGCACTCACAACTAAGCACAGATGTTTTTACAGATTATCACTGAAATATTCTGTCAATTTTTTTTCTGCAGAAAATTATTTTAGTTAGTACTTTGCAAATTTACTATAACTCAGTCTATGGAAATGTGAAGTATCCGAGGTGTCAAACAAAACAGCAGTCGATGGTTCTAACAAAACCCAGTCTGGCATGCTGCTGTCATTTGGGGAACAGGATATTTTGTTGTTGTTCACTTCATTCTTATAAAACTTTTCTTTTTTTTCAACTTAACAGCTTTACTCATAGTCTGTGTCATTGTTTCTGTCTTTATAGAGAGAAAGGAGACATCAGGAAGGAGGTGGTTTTTCCGTCTTGTAATCACTGACTTTACAGTCATCAGTTTTTAATCTTTTCCACATCAGGATCATAGAAGGAAAGGGAAAGTTTCCATCTCTTCCTGATTCTACCGTAAAATTACCTCTCTAAAAATAGCCAGACTTTTACCTCATAGAGTCTCCCTTTCCTCTTTCTCCACACATCCACACATCATTGGTCATAGCCTTGAGTCATGTTTGTAAACACTAGAAAGCTCCCTCTTTTCCTTGTCCTCACGCAATTGCAATTTTTTCACTGTGTGTGAACTTTCGTCTTCTCTTGATGTTGAATAATCAGTAATGAATAACTATCAACAGTGCTAGACATAAAATTATAAGCTGATTAATTCAGCCAAACAGGAGAAGGAAAAAGGGACTAGTGATAAAAGTTTTCTCACGTTTTAAACAGGAAATTATTCATACATATATGGGATTTTTAACAAAACATAGTTGTATTCAGCATAGCAGTTTATGAGGCAAATGTATTCTAGCCATTAAATGCTTTGTTTCCCTGGATTTTTCTTTGTAAATGATATTGAAAGACTGATCCACTTAAAATTCATGGGATTCCAAAAAACATCAAACACAGTCAAGGTTTGATGAAAATTATATTTTTCTCTGAATTTAAGGTGCTATGTTAAAATATTTGTTTGCTATGAGTCTAAATTACTCAGGTTTTTATTCCTTATCACATTTAATCTTCACAATCATCCTGGGAAGAAAGTTGTACTATTAGCTTTGTTCTGTAGAAGCAGAGAGTGTGTTGCTGAGAAAAAAGGAACAGCTGAACTGTAGATGACATGGGATTAGGAGTTATTCAGGGAGAGAGTACACTTTAGACCTGTTTGTTTCTTGTTCCCCATGATCAGCCCTCACAGTACCATTAGGGGTATGTCTTTGTTTACTTTTGCTCCCCCTCCAAATAATTTTTTCCTGCTGAGCTACGGTGGTTAAGGAATTTGTCTTGTCTTTTCTAATCAGTGAATTAAGGCACCTGTCTGAGATGGGCCTGTTAGGCTGTACAACCCAGGTATGTGGCTATCCATTGCCTTCCCTACTTCTAGCCTGCTGTACTGTAACCTTTCTATCTCTCCCATCGATTTCTAAACTCTGAAGAGTCAAGGACAGTCTCTGTCTTATGTCTAGGACATGGTGATATTAGTTATTGAGAGAATTAAAAAATATTCTGAGGAAATCGCCCCAGGTATACTGCAAAATCTCCTGGTAACCTGTGATTTCTTCATGGCATTTATGACAGTTTTCATCATGAAGTGTTATTCGATTGCTGTCTCTCACCCACCAGGCTATAAATGCCATAATAATAAGAGCCATGAATGTTCTGCTCACTGTTTGCCCCAGCATGAAACTTAGATCAGCCATGAATGATTGTCATTGAGTAGATCAATATGACATGAGTAGTTTTAGAAACTCAAGATTTTGATGGTGATTAACCCAAAACTTCCTGTCTCTAAGGAATTTCCCTAACATGATTCCTGTCTGTCTTTCTTTTCTTTTTCTCTTTTGTTTTCCTTACCTTTTTCTTCCATGTGTTTTCCTCTGTGACTCACTATTTATCAAATATGTGTAAAGCACTTAATATGTGATAAGCATTGTTCTAAATACTATAAAATATTAATTAATTTAATTCTAATTGCACTTCCAGGAAACATGTATGATCATTGTCATCCATGTTCTGTAGTTGAGGATAGTGAGCACAGAAATGTTAAGGAACATGCTTAAGGCCACAGAACTGGGGTTCTGTCTGTCATCTGGCCCATCTGTGTTTCACACTAGGCAATTCCTCCTTATTTATTGAACTCTCCGTGAAGCTGTATATAAATGGAAATGAGGTTTATCTCCTATGCCTCTGTATATTGACTTATGTTTCCCAGTTTAAATGTAATCGTTTGCAGTTATGCACTAGATTAGTTAGCTTTGATGCAAAGATAAAGTTCAGATCTTAGTGGCTGGCAACAGACATGCATTTCTTGGTTGTGTTACATGTCACCAGTTGCAATCAGCTGAGGTGCTCTGCCTTCTCTTCCTGGTGGGGATGAATAGTCCTCTGCTTAGGAAGGGAGTTAATATGTCAAAGTAATCAAACTCTACCACGCTTGTTAACTAAGTCCATGGTACCTCTGTATGGTTTATGCTTGGCATTACACATATATTAGCAGCAGACTGAGGCCAAAAGTTCAACTTCTTTTTTATAAACAGAAGCCAAAAAAAGCTAATTCAGAGAAATGTAAATATTTTACATACATAAAATGACCCACCAAAGACAGAGGGTTCTTCATTCCGCAGTATCAGATTTTTTAACGGATAAGGGTTAAAACACGTTCATTTAGTTTTAAACACTTTGCACCCATAATATTTTTTCCCCTGTAGCAATTTCTCCAATGTAATTTCATTCAATTCTGTTCATCAGTAGTTTTTCAAATGCCTGCTGTGGAGCTAGACCAGTGCCAAGAATTGACACACTGATACTCGGTTTGTTTATAGAATAATTTCATAGATTTTTGAGATTTATGAGTTTCTTGAGACCGGACTGTTGTTTATCCCAGCAAAGAGCACACTGCTGGTAGATAGTAACACCTAATGAATATTGAATAATGGTCAGACTAACTGCACAAATGAAGATGAAAATTTCCAAGTGCACGTTTCTCTTTTTCTTGTTCCTTTAGGAACTTCTACTCGCAGAAAAATGGGCTAGGATGAACAAGCTCCCCTTTCCAAAGATCGATCCTAATGTGTTTGATCGGGAAGGGCTGAAGGAGTGCTATGTCTTTAAACCCAAGAATCCTGATGTGGAGAATGATTGTCCTACTATCATCCACTTTGTTCTAGCCAACATCAACTTCAGAAAGTACAAAGCTCCAGGTATGCTTGGAATAAGTTCTGTTCCATAAAATGGGGGTCTGGTAGGGTACCAAGTCTGATATTAAGCTGTTTCACCCTGGCACTACTCCACCAGCTATTACAACATTGAATGTTTCCCTTACCTTGACAAATATCTGTTATCTTGTAACCTTGACTACTTTCTTTCTTTTTCACCCCAAGTCCCCTGAGTTGTCTCAATTCAGAAACTGAAAAGTTATTAACTACCTCAGCAAAAATCTCCATGGCTTAACTCCAAGAGTTTCCACTAGGTTTGTTTTGATTGGTCGATGCCCTTGTCATAGGGAATGTTAAGTTTTTTGACCATTATACTGTAAGACAGCTCTTTTTTCAGAACAAATCATGCAAAAGATTTGGAAAATTTTAATTAACTGCAAAATTAATGTGATCATTAAACTTCAGGCTAACATTTTCAGGTTGCCATGTTGTGTTTCATAGCATATGAGAATCAAATTCAAGGCATGATAATTCTGTTTTATCACATCTGGAGGAGTCTGTGAACTTCTCTATGTCCTAGAAGCTACTGGACATCTACAGATTGACAGGCAGGGTATTTAAGGCTCTAAAACCCATATTATTTTAGGACCAGAAAATGTAGTTTTCCATTTTGTAAATGGAAAGATGAGTAAATAGAGAAGATGGGAAAGGGGAATATAGAGAAGAAGATGTTCTTTCTAAATTGCTTAGGAAGATAAAGGAACAATAGAGGTAGAGGTTGTGAGACAGGAGAAGGAAGAATTGGCTGGAATTTTTACTTTTCAAGTAGTAGAACGCTGAAGTCTAGAGATTTTTCCATCACTGTAAATTCTTAAGGAGAAGCTCATGGAGTAGTAGGGGGATTTCTGTGGACTGAATTCAATTAGGTAATATTTTGGTTTGGGTTTGCCCAGAAGCAGATTCTCAGAAAAGGATTCAAGTGTAAATTGTTTATTAGTAAGGGAGTGAGGAAGTGATAAAGGGAGGGAAGACAAACTGTCTACCCTAAGAGGCTACCCCAAGTGGAACCTAACCTATGCTCCAGAATCCTTCTCACCCACGCACCACGAGGCTAGGGAGTTGGGCTGTTATGTGACAACTCCCTAGAGTCTGGTTAACTGCTGCTTGTTGGAAAGAGTGTTATTTATCAGTATTTCCTGCCTGATGCTAGTGGGCAAAGCAGCCTTCTACACTTGCAGGGAGAGGGAGAAGAAAGAAAGTCATCAAGCACAGAGATACAGATACTGGCGGTTGGAAGGCATCCAGACACACAGAAATGATAAATAACATCCAGGGATATTACAGATTGCATAGCCTCTGAGTGCTCTTAATGGTGGCATCATGGCTCTTTTAATATTTTGTTCCCTGGGTTTTAGGATTATCTTGTAGTTTTCAAAATAACACTATTGGTGACTTTTCTGGTACTTAGGTGTTCCAAGAGAAACTAAAGAAGAGAAAGAAATAGCTGACTTTGACATTTTTGATGACCCAGAATCACCATTTTCAACCTTCAACTTTCAATATCCAAATCAAGCATTCAAAAGGCTACATGACCTTATGTACTTCAATACTCTGAACAATATCGATGTAAGTATCTCCTGTGATGTCAATAATAGCAAATGACTTTCACATCACACAAACTCAGCAAACATGCTGCTTTACTTCTCACAAATTATCTGTCAATATTATTATTTGTCACAAAATTGACAAATAATGAGACTAATGCCTTCAAGTTGGCCGAGCCCAATTTTACATTACTATTTGATTCGATGATGGTTAGTACTCAGCTGCTTTCTCAAAGTATCCAGTATGTTCATCCTATGAAAAAATAAATTATAAGTAAGAAGGAAATGATGAAAATAAAAGCAGGAAGGGGAGTGTAACCAGGAGTGTCGTTAATCTGCAAAAATACTATGGCGAGATTTTTACTGAAAGCAATCATGCTTTCAAGTGTCTTATTATTTGTGTATCTTGGAGGGTGCTGCCAAAGGTAACACACTGCCCCTCTTCCCCCTTTTTAGCCCTTGAGATACCCAATGTTCTCTGCTTTAGAGACTTTAAAACTAGTCATTCTCACTAGTATCAGTTCTTCCTATCACTGGAACATCTGGTGCTAAAATTCTGTGTCTGTGTGAGATTCCTTAGCCACACACTCACCATTGAGGAGCACTGTGGGGTAATTAAGATCAGCAGGCTGTGTTCCCAGTCCTAGTTTCTGACAAATGATTATCACTTGTGGAAGCTCAAGTTCATTGGCCTACTTTGATTTTGCATATTATGAAAAAGAATAAAGGAAAAAAGAAAGAAAATTAAACAGAGAAAGACATCATGTCTGCTTTGTCAGTCATTTTGGAGACTGTACGAGTGGCTTGAAGTAACTCACAGTATGTGATGTGGTCTGTTTATTGTGGAATTTAACTAGATTTTCGTGAGCTAAGAGAACTATGGCACATCCAGTTTGCTTGTTTGTCTAATTTGTTCTGTGACTACTAGTGATAAATTGTGTGCAGTCATGATAGTGGCACCATAATGTTTATTAATCGATATCATTCACTTTATGAACATGAAACTTTTCCTAATAAGCATCAATTCCTACAATCCTAAAATTTTTTCTTTTCAAACTGCATTTGCAGATATTTGATGATTGATATAAAACATACTTATCAAAAATATATGTCATTTTCTCAATATATTTATTTTCTCATCCTGGGCAAATAGTTTAAGAGAACCTATCTGGAAAATACCCAACCAAAAAAAGTGCTGGTGGAGTGATTCAAGTGGAAAAGCACCTACCTAGCAAATGCGGGGCCCTGAGTTCAAACCCCAGTACAACAATAACAACAACAAAAAAAGCACACTATATTATTTCTGTGTAAATTTAAAGATGTTGAGAGAGAAATTTTTGTAAAGCTCCATGTTTCTAAATCTGAAGAGAGCTAAGGAGTACTATCACAATAATCCTTTTTGTCCAGAATGAAGCCAATAACCTCAAAAGTATGCATTCCTTGGGATAAAGTGTATTAAACCTTATAAGTCATCCTTAAATGGAAAGAGCTAGATCACAGGAATACATAAATACCCTATTAGACTTGGGAATAAACACGAAGACATATACACTTACATTTTTATCTTATACAACTGTATTTCTCTTGCTGTTTTCGGTTCTGGTTTATATAAAGCCTGCTAAACTATTTGCTGTAAGGAATGATGTGATTCCAGTTATATATTTTACAAGCATTCTTCAAGGTAGCTTGTTTGACACATAGGTGAAAAAGTTAAAAGCCTGAGCAAAAATAGACTGAATTCCAAAATCTCTGTCTTGACATCATTAAATATGATTCTTCACAAATCATTAACTAAGCATTTTTCAAACTTCTTTTACTGGCATTTGTGACACAGAATATAGAGGCAAGGTTGTGGACTTTATAACATTTTTTTTGTAGGAATGGGGCTTTATAATATTTGTAAATCCCAGATGGGCCACTGTGTGCTTTGAATAAGCTACTCAGACCTTTGGAGCTTTGATTTCCTCATCTCAAAGGGATGATGAATAATACCAGTCGTGAATAGGTAATCAGGTGATTTATGAATAATGCCCTGCAAATGGAAGATACTTAAGAAATGGGAGTAATAGCTATGCATGCCCATATCCTGTGTCCCTGAAGGTCCATGGTAAATACACCCAAGACCTTGCAAATGTATAGAATTCATAGTGTAGACGTTTTTGTACAGGTAATGACAGCCTAAGCAGCAAGTAAATATTTTTTGAATGAGTGAATATAGGCAGGCTTTCTCCTAAATTATATAACTATTGAGACTCATGTTCAAGTGCTTTGTGTGTGTGTGTGTTTGTGTGTGTGTGGTGTGATACAGGTAAAACTTCAAATTTTTGCTGACATTTTGTCTCTCCTGGTGTGTTCCCACATGCATTATAATTAATTCATTTTCACCATTACCAAAGCTTCTTTTTGTTGTTGTTTTGTTTAGGGTTCTTTTGGAGGTACTGGGGTTTGAACTCAGGACCTCCCACTTGATAGGCAGGCACTCTACCACTTGAGCCACTCTGCCATCACCGAAACTTCTTGATAAGAGAAGAGGCATAAAGAGCACCACACTTGTGCTGAAGTTAGGATGCTGGACAGTTCAGTAGGCTAGCGAAATCTCTTCCCCACTGCGTTTGAATAGAGTAGAATACTGATTTCTGCTTCAGTAACAGGGCACATGGACTGTTGGAGTTGTTTACAAATAGGAGACACTGCAATAAAGTCGCTTATCCACTAGTCCTTATGAAGACAGTTTTCAACTTTGGGGACATGACCAGTGTGGCTCTAGGCACCGTTTCCTCTTGAGTTTAACTTCTGACATGACTTTGTTCTAAGAAGGCCACCTTGTCTCTAACAGCTGCACACTCCTGTTGCTCCATTGTCCCAGGATATCCTGGCTGACCTGCTTGGTGGTGGGTACTAAATTCTAGTTTATCTTTAGCGGACTTCAGCTCTGTTTTTGCTCATTTGTGACAGCAGCCTGAGTTTCTCATTAGCATTGGGTTCCTGCACTTACTCAATCCTCCCAAATTCCTTTTCACTGAACATCGGCTCAATGCTTTTACAATTATGGAATTACGGTGTTTCGTGGGATTTCTTTGTTTCCTTATTAGAAACAATGTATAGTGACTTATGCTGGTATGTAGGCGGTGTGTGGGGGATGTAGAGGCTTCAGGGTCAGACCAAATTGGGTGTTCAGATCCTTACTGTGCTGCCTCTGAGCCACGTAACCTTGGTCATTTAGGTTAAACTTTCCAAATTTTACTTTTTCTCAACTGTAAGTGGAAACAATGACACATATTTTATGGGATTAGGATGGAGTTTAAGTAAAATAATATAACTGAAGGGCTTGGCATGTAATAGATACTGAAGAAATTGAAGAAGCTAATAGAATAATGTCATTCATATTCTTTCCTGCTTTTAATTATAAATTACAAACTCTGAACAGTGACATGTCTTACTTTCTTTGCTTCTTCGAGATACTGATCAACATCCCTGTCACCTAACATGACATGCAATGCCTTTCTCCTGATTGATTTGCAAATGTCACGATGTAACAAGTAAGGACACAAGGTCCTGCTTGTTGGAGACGGAGGTCTTGGGGCTCTACAATATGCATGCCTCACATGTAGCTCAGCTGCACACACAACTCATAAGCAACACTTTGATTTGGAGGCAATTTGCCTTTTGAGATCTTTTTTCAGTACCAATTGGTTCAGCTATCATAGGAAAATATATTGTTTCTCAGTCTCACATGCAATTTGCTAGCTCAGTAGGCACATTCTGGCATCTTCAGAAAATATTATGTGCCGTCTTATTCAGCACATGCCAAAATGTATATAATAAGGTGCTTTAACATTTTGTCAAAAATTTTATGCAGTGTTAAATAGTAGATGTCAATAAAATGAGGGAAAGTACATACCCAGAAGAACTGGTACTTAATTCTTAATTTAATTATTGTTTATCATCATGATAACAGCGTCTAGGTACAAGTCAAGGTTCTTGTCTTTTTGAAAATAATTTGGAAGTTTATTATGATATATTAGGACCTCTTTTACTAACCCCTGTAGGAGAAGAAAGTAAGTGAACTTTTCTTGGCCATCATATAGGTCATGGCTGACTCCCCTAAAACAAACAACAGGTTACCAAGAGAAAAGCATAATAAATTTGTTTGATCATAGTTTAACATGGCATGAGGGCCATCAGAATAGATAACTGAAGACCCAGGGTGAGCTATCCATTTGTATTCTTAGGATTGCTGAGGCATGGGGAGCTGTGTGATTTAATGCTGACAGCTGAGCTGGGAGACCCAGCACAACCTGTATGCCCAGGTTCTTCTTGACCTCTTTAAAGTATTTATTCATTCTGGATATAGGGCAAGACCTCTTCTGAAGTAGGAGTCTTAGAAGTGGTCCCACTACAAGAGAAGAAGAGAATTTTGTTATGGCTAGTTCTAAGGCAGAAAAGCTGGGAAATTAACACAATATTTTTAGGCCCAATGGTTTCCTTTGGGAAAATAAGTAGTTTCTATAGCCTGCCTTAAGGAAGAGTGATTCTAGTTTCCATGACTTGCCTAAGAGTATGGGGGGCAGAGAGAAGAGAACAGGAGTAGGAAGATAGGAGAAGACTTTGATTCTGAGGCTCTTCTGAGGTCTTCACTTGGGGACACTGTTTTCTGAGGCCCAACAGCTCCAAACTCATCTACCTTTAATGCTATATGTGATCTCTTTCCACCTCATTTATTCATTAACTGGACACATAGTTATTATCAATTATGCCAGGTCCTGTTTTGGTTATTTGGGTTGCAGCAATACACAACACAAAAAGAACAAGTAGCTTGCATAGCAAGGCCCTACCTAAAAAAAGAAGACAAAAACAAACAAAGAACAAGGAAAACTTTTGAGTGCTTATGATAGGCAAATATTTCCCCATAAATATTTTACACTCAAACTAGCCTATGAGTGTGTGTGTGTGTGTGTGTGTGTGTGTGTGTGTGTGTGAATGAATGTATAGGTGAGGGGATTGAGCCATGGGTTATTTAGG